AGCCATGCAGACCTGTGTTCACTGCCATACACACTGCCGGGCACCCACTCCACTGCTAGCAGGAAGAAAATATAAACAGAGATTGTAAACTCTATCTCAGCCTCGTCAGTGGGCAGTATCTCACAAGGGGTAAAAGATCGGGAAAACAAGCACAAACAATGGTGCAATTCAGAAAAGTGGCAAAAGGGCTGAAGCCTGAGACAGGGAAATGGCCCAGGCTGGTGCACAGGAGAGTGATTTAGTGGTAAGTGCTTTAGTTCAGGTGGTAGATGGTCTGCCTCTCAAAGTAGCTCTGTGACTTTGGGAGGCTGAGCATGGTGGTTCACACCTGTAAGCCCAGCCCTTTGGGAGGCTGAGATGGCTGGATCGCTTGAGATCAGGAGTTCAAGAGCAGCCCGACCAATATGGTGAAACTTTGCCTCTACTAAAAAATATATAAAAATTAGCTGGGCTTGGTGGCACGTGCCTGTAATCCCAGTTACTCAGGAGGCTGAGATTGCAGTGAGCTGAGATCATGTCACTGGGTAACAGAGCAAGACTCTGCATTTAAAAAAGAAAAAAAGGCAGCTCTGTGACTTCGGGGACATCTCTTTACCTCTCCAGATCTTGATTTTTCTATTTGTAATAATGAGGAGTGAAGCAGTTCTTGAAATTTAGCTTGCATGGGAATTATCTAGGATGCTCATTAAAACACCGGTTGTTGGGCTCCCTCCCTGGAATTTCTGACTATGTGTGTCTAGCATGGGGCTCGATGCATTTCCAATAAGTTCCTAGGTGATGCTGATGCTGGTCCAGGGACTACATCCTGAGAACAACAGGACTAGAGGAACCCTCTGGGCCTCATTAGGTCTGAAATCCTGTCGCGATGGGCAGACATCAAGACTAAATATAACAGTCACTGTGGTTCTCAACCAGGGCGATTTTGCACTGCAGGGACCATTTGGCAATATCTGGAGATATTTTTGATTGTCACATTCTCGGGGAGGTACTACTGGTATCTAAGTAAATAGAGGCCAGGGATGCTGCTAAATATCCCACCATGCACAGGACAGCCCCCTGTGACAAATAATTAAATTACCTGGTTTAAAACACCACCAATGCCCAGATTGAGAAACCCTGGTTTAAATGATCCAATTCATCTAGGTTTGAGTTTGCGGAATATTGGTAGATGTTGGAATACACCATATGGAAAGATTTATGACACGCTTTTATTGCTCTGAAGGTAAAGATCTATACAAACGATGCAAGATTCTTTGAGCTAGATTCCTCTTTCCAGATTTTTTGTTCTTTGCCCCAGGACCTCACTCAGGGCTGGACAGGAGATTACAGTTCTCCAGAAGCTTGTGGATTTTAGATCCCAGGAAGCCTCCTGACAAAACATAAGGGCTGGCTCCCAGCAGGGCACATTTTCAAAGCAACATCCGTCTAGGACCGGGAAAGCCTGGCTGCATTAGAACGGGACTGGGTGTTGATTGCATTGTCTTTCCTTTCTCTGCTTGCTTCCAATCCATGGGCTAGAAAATGAGGGCAACCCTTGTGGATTCTGATTAGAAGCTTCACAAATCAAGTCCCTAAGTTTGCAGAACGTTGTAAGCCAGAAAAGGTGTGTGTGTGTGTGTGTGTGTGTGTGTGTGTGTGTGTGTGAGAGAGAGAGAGAGAGAGATAAATTTTGGATTTTGTGTGTGTGTGTGTGCATGTGTGTATAGTGAGAACCACGTATTCAAACCATTCCCTATTTCTGCACCTTATCCTGCCAATTACAATCTGCTTGATGGTGTGAAACTGACAGCCGGCAGCAGTGATGGAGACAGGAGGAACGGTGAACAAGGGCTTTGTGCATTCTCAGCTTTAGAGAGAATGTTCAGTGGGGCAGACAGGCATGTAACTGGCAGGTTTAGGAATCAGTAAAAACCAAGAACTGGAAGTCCTAATTTATTGTCTGTTTCAATACAAGGCTGGACACAGGCTATTTAATATAATGCATTGTTTACAAGTGGAGGAGAGTGGAAGTTATTGATGCATTACAAATGCAGGCAAATGCATCTCATAAGCCAAGGGTTAGGTAATAACTATTGCAGAAGACTAAATTTGACTTTAATCCCCTGAAGAATGGCATGCATACAGCTTAAAATGATAAAAGCTAGAGGGGGTGGGGAGAGAGGGAAAGAAAGGAGGGAGAGAAGGAGGCAGAGTGAGACAGAGGCTGAGAGACAGACAGAGATAAGAAGGGAAATGAGAGCTGATTTTCTCCTGGGATTGTCTATTTCTTGATTAGGAAATAGAGTGGAAATTGAGAGAAAAGATTTTTGAAGACCTTGTTTTGATAAACAGCCTCATGCTTGGCAGGGTGTTTTTGGTGGCAGGTCTGGTGTCTGCATGGTGAAGCAGCTTGGAGTGATTTACAGACCTGCCAATCCCTTAGATAATCCCAAAGACAGAAATAGAAAACAAGTCCTAGTTTGATCAGTGCACGTAGCCTGGTCTGTGTCCTTCTCCTGGGGTCTCTAGAGCCATGGCCACAGTGGCTGGCTGTACACAAGCTTGCTTGGTCTTTAGGGTTAAAATTCCCCCACTGTTGACACAGTGCACTATGCTTTGGGCAGAGTAGGTGTCCTGTGAATGCTGGCAGCGTGAACATGGGGTGACGCAGGCGCCCACGAAGAAAGGATGTGTCTGGACTCCATATTTCAGTCTCAGCTGTGAAAGTGACTTCAGAGTAAGCAAAAGAGAGTCAGCTCCCCACCCACACTGAAATCTCTCTGCATCATTTATTGACAAAGGTGTCCAAATGCAGAGTGGAAAAACCACACGATAGGGCACCTCCTACCCCTGGCGCAACCCACTCCTATGCAGAACGGGACTTAAGAATGATCACCACGTATTGGGTATGTGGCCACTGCTGTGCTGAAATCTCTACGTGGCTTATCTCCCTTTATGCTTACATCCAGCTCAGGAGGTATTAATCATTATTTCCTTTTAAAAGACATAGAAACTAAGGCACAGAGAGGGTTCACAGCTGGTAACTGGTGGAGAAAGGAAGAACTCAAACCCAGGCAGATTGACTCTGCACGCTGTGCTCTTAACCATCAAGGATGATCTTCCTTAAGTTGACCTGAAGTCTGCCTCTCTCTCCTCCCTGCGGGATCTCATTGCAACGGTTAGTCTCATGCGATGGTGTGCCCAGTGCTGGATTTCCATTATCAACCTGAGTCACATTTGCCTGGTTTCTGGATGTGTTTGCAGGGTACCATCTGCCTTCTCTGGTGATCCAGTGGCAAACAGAGGGAGAAAGGAGATTGGCACTGGAAGATCTTTCTGTGACAGCTTTCTAACTGTGACAGCCAAGTGCATCCAGCCTGGGTCACGGAACACAGAGAGTCCCTGATCATAACTGCATGAAGTCACTATTTGTGGATCACTCTGAGATAAATGAATGAACTCACTCTGGAGAATAAGCAGTGGTCTGGGTGACCCCATCTGTGTGCTTAGGCTGGTTGAATCCTGAGGACAGCCAGTAATCTCACCTCTCTAGGCTAACCCCAACACAGCAGGCCCTGAGCAAACATTTGTCAACTATCTGATCTGACAGCATTCTGGCTGAGAGCAATGCTGCCAGCCCAGGTCCTTAGAAGGGCTGAGCCTGGAGACAGAACACGTTTTTATTTAGAAGCTTGATCTTGACCATTTGGCCATGACTTTGGGGTAAATAGACCTCACAGCCTGGAGTCCTATTCCCTTGCAACTGGCATATTTTTGTACTTTGTGTCTTATGCGTGTCTGCCCAGGAAGCATGATGGGGCCCCTCCTGGTTTCCTGTGGGAACTTGTGGACAGGTCACCTTCTTAATCTAGGATAGAAGGGCTCCCAGGATGTTTAAAAGAGAGAAGCTAAACCAGTCCAGACAAAACATATGGCACGCCCCAAACCAAATGGATTATTTCCTTCTTTTTCTGAGTGCCATTTCTCCTGAGTTTCTACCATAATTTTTGCAGTCACACAAGCTTGAAAAATCAGAGGCATCTTTGTCGTCTCTTATGGCTCTCACATCCAATCAGTTGCCCAGTCCTAGTTAGTCTGTCTCTGAAATGTCTCCCCCTAAAAAGATCTGTAGGTAGTTTGAGTCTTTTTAGCACTCATTGGATCAACTGTAGTTGATTTCCTAAGTGGTTTCCTTGTCTCCAGCTGTCAACCCACTTTGGATGCTCCTAACTCTGCACATAGGCAGAGAAAGAACTTCCTCATGCAGCGGTTTTCAAATTGAGCCCGAGGAGCCCTAGGGTTTCCCCGCCATGTGTTAAGGCCTTTTCAATAGGCCAGGGACCAGGGCTGAGGTCTGCAGGAGTCTTTTGGGGCCCTCACTGCAATTTAACCAGTTCCAATTTCTAATTTTTTTGAGATCTGAAAAATAAAAAGACTTAAAAGGCCATAAAGGAACAACTCTACTTTAAAAAAAATCTCTTTCAGGACTTTGATGTGAGATTCCATGTAAGAAATGTGTTGCTAAGGATTTTGAAAACTGTTGTCCAAAACACAAGACCCTACTGAAGGAGCTCTGAGATAAAGTCTTTGTCTTGACTTGAAAGCTCTCCAGGCAGGGTTTGGGGAGCCATTTACTCATGGGAAAGTTACCTCCTTCGTTCTCAAAGACTCAAAGACTAATGGGGCCTGGGACATTTGGGTTTCTTACAAACCAGGGGTAGGGGATAGTCAAGAGTGAGGAGACTCAAAGGGATGATTGGGTAAGTTGGCTCATGCTCCAGGGTTTGTTATCAAATCACTGGAAAGGTAAAACTGGAAATGGTTTGAGCTGAAACTGAAATCTAACAGGAGAACCATCAAGACACCCCCACAGCACACCAGCAAAGGGCATTTCTCCCTCTGCAGCTGGTAGGGTGATGTGTACCTTTGGCAGTCTACAGAGGGAGATGATTCCCAGGGAATTCTTGTCTCATTTGTGCCTTACAAGCAGAACCAGAGGACAAAAACTCAACTCAAAGAGAACATAAGAAGTGCAGCATTTGGGGTCCAGCTTTCTTTCTGGTCTCTGAAATGGAGTGTGTAAGGTTTTTCAAAGCTGGACTCAGGTATGCTCTGCCTCCAGCCTCAGCTTAAGAGTCAGCTCTGCCTTTCCAAAAGGAGCAACTGATCCCTTGAGAAAGTTGTGGCCTTTGTTTGGGAGTGTTTTCTGATTTTGGCTGTCATGCCCAAGACCAACACTGAGGCTGGGTGAATACTTGGAACAAATGAGCCGTTACATGTGAAAGGAAATCTAACTGCATCCTTTATGCAGGGATTCAAAACAGGTCAGTGTGATGGCAAAGCATATGTTCTTGCCACCGTAGCATGCCATGGAGTTAATTTAGACACTGAATTGCTGTATGAGTGTTCAGTATTGTTATTATTATTATTTTCTTAGTGTTTGAGAGGGCATAAAACTATGGTTCTCAGAGAAGAATGAGGCTGTATTTTAAAAATGATTTTACGATGCCTTCTCCAAAACAGATTTAAACTGGTTCAGAATAAAAGACATAGAGCTAATAATACTGTAAACCATTAACCCAAGAGTGAGATGACAAGAGCTAAGTCATAAAAGGCAGCTAGGAAGTATTTATAAATCAGAAAATGTAGGCTTGTCCTGACTTCTAAGAGTCCATTCTGAGTATCTTTTCCAAAGTCTGTTGTTCAGCAATAGAACATCGGAAGTGGCAATGGTGGGGCCATTTACACCATGGAAACTGGGAAATGTTTCAGACTGGGAGTTTTTTTCTCCCGGTGAGCTGGTTGTTAGACATTTGTCAGCACATCATTTGACTAACAAACGCTGCTACAAGCTAGTATGATGTGCTTTTGGCATTTGGCTCTGCTGTCCAAGGGGTGCTGGCTCCCAACTACCTGTATTCAAGGGAAATGGGTTCCACTGTGGTTGCTGGTGGCAGTGGTGATGGTATCACCCAACTGGGTGAGAAGCTAAGACGAAAAGCATTGTTTCAGAGACTCTTTGCTTCCAAGGAACAAAATCCATTCAAGTTAGTCTAAGCAAAAAGAGAAGGCTGGGCATGGTGGCTCACGCCTGTAATCCCAGCACTTTGGGAGGAGGGGTTGGACGGATTGCCTGAAGTCAGGAGTTTGAGACCAACCTGGCCAACATGGTGAAATCCCATCTCTACTAAAAATACAAAAA